CGCTGGCCTTTGGAGGACTAACAAATTAGCTATAAGATTAGAAATTACAGTTTAGGGGTCATGCGGCCTCTGGCCCCCAGAGTGCGAACCTCCCCAGATTGCTCCCGGGGTTAACACCACGACTGTAAAACCTAAGATCAAGGCCTGAGAGAGATATATATTTTGCAGACCCTGCACTCGATGGTCAGCTGACACCAGCCAGACGTATAGTAATCTGGCTCAAATAGTTCGGCCATCCCACCCAGGGACAGAGACAGCGAGAAAACCTCACTTCAACCCCCTATGATTCCATCTCCAACCCCACCAATTAGCACCCTCCACTTCTCAAGCCCCTACCTACCACATTATCTTTAAAAACTCTGATTCCCGAATACTCAGGGAGAGTGATTTGAGTAATAATAACTCTGGTCTCCTGCACAGCTGGCTCTGTGTAAATTACTCTTTCTTCATTGCAATTTCCCTGTCTTGATAAATCGGCTCTGTCTTAGCAGTGGGCAAGGTGAACCCACTGGGCAGTTACAATACCACACTCTAAGCCTTTCCATCTCCTTCAAAAGTTTCCTCCCATCCTAGTTATTTATTATTATTATTATTATTAATGAGACGAAGTCTTTCTCTGTTGCTAGGCTGGAATGTAGTGGCACAATCTCAGGTCATTGCAACCTCCACATCCTGGGTTCAAGCCATTCTCCTGCCTCAGCCTCCCAGCAGCTGGGATTACAGGCATGCGCCACCACGCCCGGCTAATTTTTTGTATTTTTAGTAGAGACAGGGTTTCACCATGTTGGCCACGATGGAGTCTCTACTTCTCGACCGGGTGATCCACCTGCCTCAGCCTCTTAAAATGCTGGGATCACAGGTGTGAGCCACCGCACCCGGCCATTGTTATTATTATTGTGGGTAATAATAACACAACATCTCCATGCTTAGCCATTTTTTTTTTTTTTTTTTTTGAGATGAAGTCTCACTCTGTGGGCAAACCTGAACTGCAGTGGTGCAACCTTGGCTCATGGCAAGCCCTTTCTCCTGTGTTCAAGCATTGCTCCAGCCTCAACCTCCCAAGTAGCTGGGATTACAGATGCCCACCACCACGCACGGCTAATTTTTGTATTTTTAATAAAGTCGGGGTTTCACCATGTTGGCCAGGCTGGTCTTGAACTCCTGACCTCAAGGGATCCATCCACCTCGGCCTCCCAAAGTGCTGGGATTACAGGCGTGAGCCACTGCACCCAGCCACAGATTTTAAGTATATACTACAGTATTGTTAACTATGGCCATTATTGTTTATGCTATATGGCAGATCTCAACGGCTTTTCCGTCTTGCATACCTGAAACTTTGTACCCTCTGACAGATGGCTCCCCACTTCCTCCTCCCCTCAGCCCTTGGCAACTGCCATTCCACTCTGTTTCCATGAGTTTATTTTAGATTCTTCATAGAAGTGGTATCGTGCAGTATCTCTCCTCCTGTGCCTGGTTTATTTCACTGAGCACACAATGCCTTCCAGGATCCTCCACGTTGCTGCAAATAGCAGGATTTCCGTCTTTGTAAAGGCATGAAGGAACTCTACCTTGGAATGGTACACCATTGGGTATATATCACATTTTCTTTATCCATTCATCTGCTGATGGAGAACTGGGTTGATTCTGTATCTTGACTGTTGTGGATTGTCCTGCAGTGAACATGACAGCGCAGATCAATTCCTTTGGCTGTGTCGCAGAAGTGGGATTGCTGGATCATATGGTATTTCTGCTTTTAATTTTTTGAGGAAGCGCCATACTGTTTTCCATAATGGCTGCACCAATTTACATTGTCACCAAAAACGTACCAGGGTTCCCCTTTTCTCCCCACCCTGCCAACATTTATCTTCTGTTTTTGACAGTGGCCACACCTGACAGGTGTAAGGTGGTATCTCATCGTGGTTTTCATTTGCATTTCCTTGATGATTAGTGACAAAAATTTTTTTTTTTTTTGAGACTGAATCTTTTTGTCACCCAGGCTGGAGTGCAGTGGCACCATCTCAGTTCACTGCAACCTCCGCCTCCTGGGTTCAAGCAATTTTCCTGCCTCAGCCTCCTGAGTAGCTGGGATTCCAGGCCTGTACCACCTTGCCCAGCTGATCTTTGTATTTTTAGTAGAGATGGGGTTTCACCATGTTGGCCAGGCCGGCCTCAAACTCCTGACCTCAAGTGATCTGCCCACCTCAGCCTCCCAAAGTGTTGGGATTATAGGCGTGATTCACTGCCCGGCCTAAACATTTTTCATATACCTGTTGGTCATTTGTATGTCTTCTTCAGAGAAATGTCTTTTAGATCCTTTGCCCCTCTTTTTTTATTTTGAGATGGAGTCTCGCACTGTTGCCCGGGTTGAAGTGCAGTGGCACAATCTCAGCTCACTACAACCTCTGCCTCCCAGGTGCAAGCGATTCTCCTGCCTCAGCCTCCCGAGTAGCTGGGATTACAGGCGTTCACCATCACGTTGGGCCAATTTTTTGTATCTGTAGTAGAGACGGTTTCAATGTGTTGGCCAGGCTGGTCTCAAACTCTTGACCTTGTGATCTGCCTGACTTAGCCTCTCAAAGTGCTGGGATTACAGGCATGAGCCACTGGGCCTAGCCTCTTTGCCCATTTCTATCAAACAAATTCTGACAGACCTTTGTCCATTTTTAAATTGGGTTTTTTTTTGTTATTGAGCTGTAGGTCTTCTGCTGCTTCTCACATGTTTTCTGGCATCCTGGACCTGTTCGAAGTGGGTCCTCAATAATGAATTGCTGAATGCATGAATGGATGGATGAATGAATGAATGAATGAATGATTGAAAGAATGAAGCCAGGTCCTTTTTCAAGATTCTCTGACCTCTTTTCTTATTGGGCTCTTGGGGGAACTTCTAGCAAAGCCTAGCTAGCTTTACAGAAGCCTGTCAGTCACAAATGACAGCTCAGCTCACCAGGTTCTCATGTTTGCACAGCTCCGGGGAGTGCCCTTCACACTATAGTGTGAGCGACAGGAAGACAGCGTTCTAAAGCAGGCCCTGTGAATGGTGCAACGTGGAGATGTGTGTAGCTGCATGGTCCCAGAGCTGAGTTTGTAAAAATCCAATTGTTGCCCTCTTGGAGGAGCTTCACCCTGCTCCCAATGCCAGGATTTGCATTAATTTTTTCAAGTTAATACCCCTGCCCCCAGCATGGGTCTAGAACTTTGTTGGACTCTCACTGAGCCCGTCTGGGGCCGGCACCAACAATTGCTGGTTTTGCTTGGAGGTGGGGGTCGGTCACTGAGTGAGGACCTTGCAGGAAACAGAGGGCCCCTTGGGTGGGATTCTGGAGAGAAGGAAGGAAGCGCTAGCTATGAAGGGCTGGTGGGCTCCAGGCTAGGTAATTAACAAGGGAGGTGGAGGCCCCCAGGAACCAGGAACCAGCAACTGAGGGGGAGCTATCGCTACCCTCGGGTTGAAGGGCGAGGGAAGGATGTGGTGGTGCAGCACAGGGGAGGCACAGGCGGGAGTGAGCGTGGCAGAGGTGCAGACAGGACGCTGAGGCACCCAGGAACCAGTGAGGGGCAGTTCCCAGGGTAAGGCTGAAGGGGTGAGACGAGGGAGCTGTGTTACTTTGAGAGCTGGAATCCTGGTGGGCAGCCAGCTGGTGGGAGCTGAGCCCACAGACAGAGATAACCCAGCAATGGGCACAGCGGGTGGGATGACACCCGCTACTTCTTCCAGCAGGGAGCCTGCATTCCCCAGCCTCACCCAGTGGGCAGAGGGTGCTGCTGGGCAGAGCAGGGAGGCAGGCTGAGGGCAGCCCGGCTGCACCTCCCCCAACCCTTGGAGCAATGAACACCTGCTGTGAGCCAGGCCCTACCCGGTGGAGAGGGCAAGATGGAGCAGGTTGAAGCATCTCACTCGCACATACACACGTCTATACTAGTAGCTGGTCATCTGGTCCCAGGATGGGAGCTCACGGAGCCAAGGCTTTTTGGACTGTCCATTTGATGTCCTTGGTGAGGCCTGCCTGCCACGCCGCAGCCAGGAGCCCTGCTGTCCTTTTCCATAGCGCTGCTTTCTGTCTCACCGAGGGGGTAACTGACACTCTCAACTTCTTTTTTTCTTCTTGAGATGGAGTCTTGCTCTGTGGTCCAAGCTGGAGTGCAATGGCATGATCTCAGCTCAGTGCAACCTTTGCCTCCCAGGTTCAAGCGATTCTCATGCCTCAGCCTCCTGAGTAGCTGGGATTACAGGTGTGAGCCACCACTTCTGGCTAATTTTTACATTTTTAGTAGAGATGAGGTTTCACTATATTGGCCAGGCTGGTCTCGAACTCCTGACCTCAGGTGATCTGCCCACTTTGGCCTCCCAAAGTGCTGGGATTACAGGCGTGAGCCACCACACCCGGCCAGCATTTTGGACATGTGGAGATTGCCTCTTGAGACGTGTAGCGGGAGGAGGCAGCTGACAGGTGGGTCTAGGAACATGGCACCCAGCAGCAGCACAGCATCACCTGGAAGCTCGTCAGAAATGCAGACGCCCAGGCCCCACCCAGAGCTGTGGCGTTAGCATCTGGGTTTTCACAAGACTGCCAGGTGGATGGAGGGCACATTCCTTGGAGTAGCTCTGGGCTGGATCTTCCAGGAGGCTGTGCTTCACAGCAGCACTGACCTCATCTATAACATGGAGTCTCAGCTGGGGAGCAAATCGTCCCCCATGGGACATGTGGCAACATCTGGAGACATTCAGGTTGTCATCAATGGGGAAGAGGTGCTCCCGCTGGGTGGAAGCCAGGGATGCTGTTCACTGTCTGGTGATGAATACCACAGCCCCCTGCAGCAAAGGCAGCTCTGGCCCCAACGGCCAACAGCAGCTAGGGCGCTGGACCTGGGTCAGGAAGTGCACGCAGATGACGGCGACGGCGTACTGGCACTGTCTGAGCCTCGGACTTACCACCTGGGCTTCGCCCCCTTCCTGGACCTTCTCCCCCAGGTGCCGAGAAACCACACACAAAGCCCAGACATTGATGAGTCACTTACAGTTTATTTTTGCCTGAAAGTATTTCACATCTCTTTGTACACAGCTACGTGACAGTAGTATTAACCATCAGGAAAAGCAACAGTGCGAGGGGAAAGGTGGCATGTCTTGTTTCTTTTTTTTTCTTTTTAATTTTTTTTTTTTTTTTTTTTTTTCTTTTTGCTTCTGCTTCTTCCCGCACCAGAGTGCTGTGAAGTATGGGACTGGAGGAGGGGAGGGGAAAAATAAAACCGAACAACTGAAAACAACAAAAAACAAAACACGAAACAGAACACACTCTCACACACACACACGAAATAAAACCTGGCACGAAAAACGAATTCAGACTGGAACCCCATTTCTTTTTTTTTCCTTTTTTAAAAAAATGAGGGCATAGTAGGGGGGTAATAAAGTCTACCTAGCAAAGTATAAAACAACAAAAGCATGGTTTCCATTGAATAAGATTAAATATATATAAAACAAGTACGCTGACTGTGGGGTAGGTCTGGAGGTGCTGGGGGAGGGAAGTATTTGTGCTAAACCAACAGAAAAAAGGGCTGGGGGGAGAAGGGGACCCCAAATAAACCATCGACGGGCTGCTCTGTACAGTGAGGGCTTGTTAAGAAAAAGCCGACTGTTTATAAAAGAAATGGAGGTTGGTTTGTCTTCGGAGCAGGTGGGGACAGAAGGAGCGTCTTCTTTGCAGTGGTCACATGTGTGGGGTGGAGAGGGGAGGGGAGGGCGGTCGGGCTGGTGGAGGCAATGTATCTCTCTTCTCCCAAGAGACCATGCAGAGAGGCGGGCATGCATGGGGCTGCGTGAAGCACACGATGGCAGGGGGAGCCAGAGTCTCCGCTGGGGACAGGGGACAGCAAAGGCTGACAGGGATAGGAGGTCCCCGGGGGTGGGGAACAGCTCTTTCATGGGGTGGACTGCAGAGGGCAGGTTAGCAGCCCCCTATTCAAGTCTAAAGGGGCTGAAAGAGCTTGGGCGATAGAGGAGTGAGGCTTCGACAGGCGACCTCATTCCTTCCTCCTCCCCCAGCCTGAGCCCCACCTCATGAGCGAGTCGGAGACATTTGGAAATCAGAAATGCACAGTGGTGGGTGGGCGAGGTGGGCAGACAGACAGACGAGAGAGCATTAGCATAGAGAATCCAGTACGAAAAAGCAATTAATTTTTCCAAGGAGGTTCTTTTTTTTTTTTCTTTTGTCTGTTTGTTTCCTTTAAAAAAATAACAATACTACTACCACTAACCCGACAGCTGACTGATTTATACAGTACTACACACGGGGGTGGGGGGGTGGGGGCAGGAGGGCGGGGAGGGAGGGTGGGCAGGAGGGTGGGGAGGGAGGGTAAAAGACTTCATAAATAAGAGGCGGGTCCCAGACCCGCAATTTGTCAACATGTCTTAAATAGGTGCATTATTTAAATCTTATGTACAACAAGAATCACTTTGCATAGCAATGGTGAGGACACAGGACGGGTGCAGTGACATGACTGGGTCTTCTTGTCCCAAGGGCGGGGGGCGAGTTCGCAGCTCAGCTTGGAGCCTCTAGGAAGAAAGCATCCTTCGTCCGGCCCGCACGGTGGCATCGGAGTTGACTTTTCCCACACGGCATTAAACACAAAGGCAAAGAAAATCCACAAAGGGTCCCCTACCCCCCAGCCCACCCCCAACCCCCTCCCCGACCCGCTGATGCTCCTCTTGTTGCTACAAAGTCCACTTTAGATCAGGTCAAAGTTTCCAATTACGAAGCTAAAAGAATTGGCGGGGGCTGGGCGTGCTTGTGGACCCCCTCCCCACCCCCTCCCCCCTCTGCCCCCAGAAAAACTCCCCATCTATCTCACAGCCAGGACACCAGGGTGGGACCCCGGGACTGGCTGCTCTGCGGCTGTTAGTCAAGAGTTGTTTTGTCGCGGTTGCAAACGTCTTCCTGCCTCGAGCTGGGAGCTTCACCAGGCTTCTGTGTAGCGCACGTCCACCTCCTTCAAATTGGGAAGCTTGGCCTGGGGGTAGCAAGAAGGGTCCTTGTCACGAGTAGGTCATTCCCTTGCATGAGCTGGCAGTGCCTGGCTCCACCTGCATCACCAGTGGGGGGACCCTGCCACCCTCTCCCTAACTTGGTGCTGTGGGCACCCTGGGATCTTAGGGTTGGGTGGCCTTAGGCAGAGAACAAAGCAGGTGGGATGTGCCTGGCCCCAGAGACACCAGGCAGCGGGGCTCCCATGCCCTCGCCTCACATGGGCTTCAGTCTCCATCTTTCTTTTCAGGCGGAAGCAGTGGGGTTTGGACCCAAGCTCTGCCATTTGCTGCTGCATGACCATGGGCAGATAACCCAGCCTCTCAGAGCCTCAGTTTCTTCCCTCGTGGGCCAATCTGATTCTAGTCCCTGCCTCAAAGGACGGTGCTAGTGATTAAATACCAAATGCAGAAAGCCCAGGGCACCATTACGTGCCCTAAGAAGGGAAACTGTTCTCACTTTTCCCGTCAGTGACATTCTCATCGTTATCAGAAAATGGGCAGGGTGAACAGTGTGGATTGCAGTAAGTCTCAGATAGTGGGGGGCTGACTTAGAGTCTTCCCACTTGGGCTCCCCCTACACTGGACGCATTGCTAGACTGTATGGTTAGTCTCTCCATTGTTTTCTGCTACCCAGACCCTCTTCCACTCTTCTTTTATAAACAGATGGATTTTTTCCTTTCTTTCTGAGATGGAGTCTCGCTCTGTTGCCAGGCTGGAGAGCCGTGGCGCAATCTTGGCTCACTGCAACCACTACTGCCTGGGTTTGAGTGATTCTCCTGCCTCAGCCTCCCAAGGAGCTGGAACTACAGGCATGCGCCACCACGCCCAGCTAATTTTTTTTTTTTTTTAGTAGAGGCAGGGTTTTACCAAGTTGGCCAGGATGGTCTTGATCTCTTGACCTCATGATCCACTCGCCTTGGCCTTCCAAAGTGCTGGGATTACAAGTGTGAGCCACTGTGCCCAGCCTGGCTTTTTTTCTTAATGAGCATCTACTATACAGAGAGGTAGCTGCCTCCTAACCGACCTCATGCCTTTACCTCCTCCCTCCCAACTTTCCTGTACACTGGCGGTACATTTTTTGGATGCACGTATGCATATATGCATGAACATGCAAATGTGTACACATACCCACATGCAATTCCAATTCCTCACTGCTGCTCTCCTGTGCTCAACAGCCCTCAGTGGCTCCCCCACTGCCCAGGCAGAGACTCCAGGCAGGGACCTGCAGCCACCTGCAGTGCTGTAAAGCACATTAAGCCAGCCTTTCAGAATTAGGAGACTTCGCAAAGAGTCTAGAATTCAAGGTTCCCTTGAAAAATGGGAAGATCTGGCCAGGCTGGGCAGTGAACAGCGTGGTGTGGCCTGCCCTGCACTGAGCGGAGGCCCCTCCTCCAAACGACAGGCAGTCGCTGTTTGCTCCAGAGTCCCCTCCTCAGGGAGGCCGGCCACGGGCTGGCAGCATCAAGTTGGCACCATGTCTCTCTCAAATGTGTGAAAAAAAAAAAAAATAGACTGAAAGTGATTTTTCTTCCCACGTGGCCTTTCCTGCACTCCCCATGGGCTGCTTTCCGGCTGGCTCAGTCGCGTCTGACTTTCAGCACTCTGAACTCAAGACACTCCGGAACAGCATTTCTCAAACGAGAGTGCACAGGAATTCCCCAGGGTGGGGTCAACGCGCGCTCAGATTCACAGGCCTGGGGTGGCCCAGATCCTGGATTTCTGTTGGCCAGAGTAGGGCCGAGAGCGCTGGTCTGCAGATGCCCCTCTGAGTGTAAGAAATTCAGGTCTACACTCTGGGGTGGGTGCTCCGCTGGCTGTGCCCCTGCCATCTGCTGCATCCTGTACGTCCTCTCTTGGGCCTTGCTCTGCTGATCCTCCCTCCTTGCTGGCCCCACTGGGCCCTGTGCCCGCCTTGGTTGGCTGAGCTTGCCTGTGCCTCCCAGCAGGGAGCATCCCCCGGGCAGGGACTGTGGCAGGCACACCTTGGCATCCCTCTCCCTGACACGGGCCTGGTACACAGCAGAGGCTCCAGAAGCGTCTGGAGGATGCACCCCTGAGCACGCCCTGGTGGCGGGAGGCCTGGCTGGAGGAGGCGGGCCCCTGCCAAGAGCTGCCGGCGGATTCCCTCCCAGTGGCTTCCAGGGCGCAAAGGTGCTAGCGTGGCTCATGGGCACCATCTGCGCCTTTTCACCTTCAAGCCCAGCCCTTCTCTCCCAGGATGCTGGCCCTCTGCCGGTCTCGCCTGCTCCTTCTGGGGCGGATGGTACAGGCCCAGGAGGATGGGGTCACAGGAGGCAGGTGAAGGCCTGGCTCCTCCAACCTTCCCAAGGCATGCACGCGCTTTTCTTACAACGCCCCTGCCTTCCACCCTCCGATCCTTCCCCTTTCCCTGATCTCACCCGCCAGCCTAGTGCCGGTGCTGTGCAGCCCTCAGCATTGTGAGGCACCAGCCCCGCTCAGCCCTCCCTGCTTCGACTCCGGCTCCCTCTCAAAACATTTATTTCCCAACAGCCACAGCACGCTTTTCAAAGCATGACTCGCTGCTCTGCTGAGACCTATGAGGGCTTTTTCCATCCAGCCCCGGCTCATTCCCTCTCTCACTGCCCGGCTACATCTGCTCCAAAGCCAGGCCTCGCCAATGTCTTCTGTCTCAGGACCTTGGCACCTGCTCTTCCTCTCGCCCTTTGGATTTCTGACTTCTTACCTTTGAGGTCCCAGCTCCTATGGCCTCTTCGTCAAAGGGACCATCCCTGATCACCCCAGGGCACACAGGCTCTCCTATTTCCACTTACTTCCCTGCTTCTGCCTCTTTGTCACTCCTTTTGACCTGCTGTTACTTTATGCATTGATCTGCAGGTGTCATCGTCTTTCACTGGAGAATGAGCTCCGTGCAGGCGATGCACCAGCATCCAGATGCTGGCTGGAGGAAGGAGGGGGGGAAGGAGGGAATTACCTTCAGATCTTCATAGGTGTCAGCTGAGAGCTTGGTGCTGTTCATGTTTAAACTGCAGAGACTCTTCATGGCTATACAGAGAGACAGATACAGTCATTAGGACAGCGAGGCCCCAAGGGACAGCTGCAGGTATGGGTCGGCCAAGCTGGAGGGACTGAACTCAGGTGCCAGGCCTCCTGTTTAGGAGACGGGGCTGGGGAGGCAGGTTTCGCAGCCACTATTGAGGCACGTACGTGCTGGTCTCAACAGAGCTTTCATTCTCTTCCCACACTCTTTAAGCCTCCCTCCCTTCTGGTCACTCTGTCGTGTCCCTCCACTGCCTGGACCTGATGTCCCCAGAGCTTACCTGCCACACCCCACACCCGGCCCGAGCCCTTCCCTAAGGGAACCACGGATGCTCCCCCCACCCATCTCGTTGACTCAGGTGCTGCTTCTTGAAAGCAAGCCTGTGGTTTGTGCTGGAGTCACACGGGGACCAGATCCCTCCACCCACGCCCAGAAACGCTGAGCAGGGCCGTGGCAGGCAGGAACCTGCATTGCTCATGAGGACCGCGACCCTTACCCCATGGGACTCCAGCGGAAGGTGCATATTTGCATTTGCAGATCTGGCTCCAGATCTTATCCTCTGCCTCCAATGACCCACTCACCTGCCCCCACCTCCTCCCAAGCCATCCAGAATTTGCCAACGACCTGGCAGGATTCTTGACCCCTGCCCAGGGTGCCTCCCACTTGGCCAACTCCCAGGAATCTGTCTTCACACCCAGACTCAACAGCACCTCCCCAGGAAGCCTTCTCTGACTCTCCCACTGAGTCACGGATCTTCTCGTCTAAAGCAATGGGCCGGAAAAAGGGAAAGCTGGCCAAATATGGAATCCCAGGCCCAACATTCCTGAGGCTAGTTCAGTCAATTGGTGTTGGAGCACAGGAACTGGCCTTTTTAGGTTCCCTGAGAATTCTGTGGCTCCTTCTATTATGAGAGAGCTTCTCAAACTTCAACAGGCACAGGAGTCTCCCAGGCATCTGCTCACCGGGCAGTGATTGAGTCAGGAGGTCTGGGGTAGGCTTGGGAGTACGCGTTTCCGACCAGCCCCCAGAAGACGCTGCTGCCACTGGTCAGGGGACCACAGTGGCCATGCTCTACAGCCCTGCCCTTGAGCTTGGTCCCTTCCTGGACTGGGAATGTCGGGAGGGCATGGGCTGGCCTTCTTCATTTTTTCTATTGCCTCTAGAACACAAGCTCCCTGAGGTCAGGAATATTTTCCCTGCTTTTTCCTGCCACTTGGAACGGTTCCCGGTTCACAGGGGGTGCGCAGTGAACACTTGTTCATGAATGAAGGAATCTCCGCATTGGTGCATGGCGCAAAGTCAGTGCTCGGCCAGTTGGGCTGAAGGAAGGAAGGAATGATTAAAGTCCCCTCACCCCCGAGCTTCCCCCGAGGCACTCACAGCTCAGGGCCAGCAGACCGGCATCGGTGACCGGGGTCTCGCACAGGTTCAGCACCTGGAGCATGGTGAGGTGTTCCGACAGCAGCCGCAGGCCGGCGTCTCCAAACTGTGGGCACAGAAACTCTCAGCCCTCTCCGGGCCACTCCTGGGGAAGTGACTCTGAGGCTGGGACAGAGGTGGGGGAAAGGGATGGGACAGAGCCTGGTTCTGACGCCATGGCCCGCCAAGCCCTGGGGTCTGGGCTGCACTCACTTCACCCAAACAATCCCACGCCTCTCTGACCAGGGTTTGAATCCAGCTTCAGTTGCTGAGAGTGGAGCCAGGCCAGGGGCCCCGTGGGAGTCAGTTTTGCCTCCATGAAGGAGGGCACTGAACTTGGCCCTCCCTAGCTGCCAGAGGCTGCCCAAGCGCTTTCTCCTGCTGGGCGGACAGTGGAAGGATAGGGCTGGGCCTGGGGGCAGGCTGTGGGGACTCTCCCCTGTTCATCTTTTGCAAAACGAGGGTCAGGGCAGAAGCTGACTTCACAGGCGTGGAGGAAGGCCCCGCATCTGCCCTGCGCAGAGTACTGAGCAGCGCAGCTGACACTCAGCTGGGACTGTCCCAGCAGCCACTGGCATTACTATAACAAAAAGACCCAGAAGCCTCCCACACAGCCCCCCGCAGGCCAGCGAAGCGCAGCTCACATCTCAGCTCCACCTCTCAGAACCTTAGGACTCTGCACTGGGCACAGTATTTCCAACGGGGAAATGGGCCCCAGGGCTTCATGAGGTCCTCAGCCTGCTCTAGCCTCCGGGAGTGGGTGCGAACTTGAGGGAGGGGCTGTGTGGTAAACAGTGCCTGGTGTGCAAGCAGGGAGCGGGGTGAGGGGACAGGGGGGAGGAGGAAGGGGTAGGGGTGGGAGTGAAGGGGTTAGGAAAAAGGGTGAGGGGGCAGGGAGAAGGGTGAGGGGGCATGGAGAAGGGTGAGGGGGCAGGGAGGAGGGTGAAGCGGTAGGGAGGAGGGTGAAGAGGCAGGGAGGAGGGTGAGAAGACAGGAAGGAGGGTGAAGGGAAGAAGGAGGGTGAAGGGGCAGGGAGAAGGGTGAGGGGGCATGGAGAAGGGTGAGGGGGCATGGAGAAGGGTGAGGGGGCATGGAGAAGGGTGAGGGGGCATGGAGAAGGGTGGGGGCAGGGAGGAGGGTGAGAAGACAGGAAGGAGGGTGAAGGGGCAGGGAGAGGGGAAGAAGGGAGGAAGGAGGGTGAAGGGGCAGGGAGGGGGGGAGAAGGGAGGAAGGAGGGTGAAGGGGCAGGGAGGAGGGTGAAGGGGCAGGAAGGAGGGTGAAGGGGTAGGGAGAGGGGAAGAAGGGAGGAAGGAGGGTGAAGGGGCAGGGAGGGGGTGAGAAGGCAGGAAAGAGGGTCATGGGGCAGGGAGGAGGGTGACTGGGAAAGGATGATGGTACAGGGGAATAGGGAGGAGCGTGCAGAGGTGAAGGAGGAGGGCACAGGGGACCTGAAGCAGGGCGAGAACGCACCTGAGTGGACCACAGGTTCAGCTGCTTGAGCGAAGGCAGTTTGATGAGGTGCTCGGCGCAGGCACTGGTTACATTGGTGAAGGCCAAACTGAGGTTCTCCAGGTTTCCGAAGGAGCCAGAGCTCAGCAAACGAGCCAAGTCAGCGTCCTGTGAGCAGACGTGGGCGAGGCCTGAGAGCGCTGCTGGGAGCTCCTGAGACCCTGACCCTCCTCTTCCCTCTCCTCCTCTCCCTCGCCCTCCAGAGAGCTCTTCCTGGGGGGTGGCAAATCCCAGGAGCTGAGGTGGGGGCACAGCTTGGTGGGACGGGCCAAGGGGGTGGTCAGAGAGGGAGGGGCTGCTGAACGTCCCATGGGTGACAGCTGCCAGGCGGAGGAGAAAGCCTCCAGTGCTGTGACTCACACCCTGAGTCACCAGCGGGATGTTCTGAGGCCACAGTCCTCCCACAGGCGTCTGTGTGTGCGACTGTGTCTGTGTGCCTGTGTGTGTGTATGTCTGTGTGTGTCTATGTGTGTGTCTTTGTATGCGTGTGTCTGTGCAGGTCTATGCGCGTGCATTTGTCTGTGTGTCGGTGTCTGTCCGTACACGAGGGTGTGTGGCCAGCTGCCTCACTCCCAGGCAGCAGCTCATCCAAACACCGAGGCCACATTCAACTCTAATGCCCGAAGACATCAACGCATGCCTGGGCACTGGACTGGGAGGTTCCCGAGGTGACCTCCACGCTCCCCTCCATCCTTGAGTGTTGGCGGCCACGTGGCTGCCCAGAATGCAGGCTGATTTCCCAGCCTCCCTTGCCGCTAAGTGTGCCCCTACACACTGAATCTGGAAAATGGGATGCAGGTAGGCATGTCAAGTAGAACTTCCGGGAAGTTTCTTAAGGGGAAGGGGTGGGCATGTCCTCCTTCCTGCTGGTTGGAATGGAGACAAGATGGCAGGAGCCTGAGCAGCCCTTTCGGTCCAGGAAGTAGAAGCCATGTGTCAAATATAACGGGGCAGCAGAATAGAAGAAAATAAGATCCTTAAAGACCTTATAAAACGGGAACTGTAAGATACAGAAGCCTCAAAGGGTTGCTGTGAGGATAAAATGAACTTACAGAATAGCATCTGGCACACGAATGCTCAAGGTATATGTGCTATTATTACCAGTATTGTTAATAATCAACACTGTTATCAACAAGAATATCATATTTTAACTTTCTTTTCAGTTTTCATTTCTCTTTCTGTGAGCAGAAAAGAGAAATGGAAGAGTTGGCGTGTCATGTACTAGGGGGTTCTTGTGCCCAGCCTGCTATCACCTCCCAGCTCAGCAGCAGACAACACGTGCCATTCCCAGCAGAGGACTGACCCACCTTCTCCACCCAGCCCCGAGGAGAACCAAAGCAACTCACTGTGGACTTAGAGGGCAGTGTTAGCCTGGTGGGCCCGCCTTTCCTTTGCTGCAACAGAAACCAGACTGGTTACAACCATTCTTTCCCCCAAGCTTCCACCCTGGACTCCCACCTCTGTCAACTTTCACGGAGCCGTCATTATTTTCTTGGTGGTACAAGGCAACACGGTGATCCTGGTCTCGGGGCAGACCCGGAGATAAGGTTTGAGTACAGGTGGTTTAGCAGAAGGTATCGAAGAAACACCAGTAGGGGGTGGGGAAGGGACACTGCTGCTGCCCGTAATGGAAGGGTGTCATCAACCCAGCTATCACTGGGTGAGTACTGGCACCAAATCCCACTGAGGGACTCTAAGAAATGGCAGAGAAGCCACGTCTCAAACACATCTCACCAAAGGGGTGAGGAAGCTGGGGTACTGATACACCGTCCCAGGAGGCACTGGCTGAGGGCCGCTCCAGGAGGTCAGAGGGCATGAATTCCCTGCCCCTTCTGTCCTGTGCACACATGTATGTGAGTGTATGTATGTGGACACAGAAAGTCCTTCAGCAAAGAGGTGTGGGTGCTGACATTTGGAAGCTGGGCCCCCATGCACTGAAATGGAAGGGTCTACGGGATATGGAGGAGGGAGGGTGGGCACTGACAGAGTCCCGGATAGGCCCCAGTGAGCTGTGTGACTCTGGGCCAGTTGCTTTACCTCTCTGGGCCTCTCTTTGATTACCTGGAAAGTGGCAGGTGGTTAATACCAATTTCTTGGGTTTGGAGGAGAATTCCACGAGACTGAGGCCCACTCAGGTCCAAGTACTGGTTCCCGGGCCCTGCCCCATCCCGTTCTGGCCTGCCCTGGCCTGCTTGGCAGGTGGGGAGCGGTCCGCAGCAGCCAGGACTCACCAGCTCCTTCAGCTCCCGCTGCCGGTCGCACAGCTGCTCGTACATGCGCTTCCCCACGTCTGTGCTCTCCAGGGTTGAGATGATCTGCAGCTGGGTGTCGTTGTTGTCAATGATGTTGTATTCCAGCATCAAGCACAGGATCTGCCCAGAACCACAGAGGCGGGTTGTGGGTCCGGCTGCCGCCCTATCTAAGCACACTCTGCGCACCCCAAGGGCCTTGTTCTGAAAACCAGCAACCAGCTCTCCCCTTTCTGCACCCTGGCTGTGTGAGGTTGGGCAAATCACCTGCCCAGCTTCCTGCCTGTACAGTGCTAGCGTCAGCGCGCATGCAGCAGGCCCCCGAGCACTGGTGGAAAGCGCAGAGAAGACACCGCTGTCTCTCCCCAGCTTCCCCAGCGGCTGTCAGGAAGTGGGTTCTCAGGCTCACAGACTGACCTCGAGCCCTTGGCCCGGCGACCACACACAGCTTCCGGGAGGGCCTGGTGCAATGCTCATGCGGCTCCAGCCTGGGAATCAACATGCCTGACAGCGACAGCCCTGCCCCTGACATTCCCTTTCCAATGACTTTCTTTTTCTTTTTTGAGATGAGATCTTGCTGTGTTGCCCAGACTGGTTTTGGCCTCCTGGGCTCAAGCAATCCTCCTACCTCAGCCTCCAGAGTTGCTGGAACTACAGGTGCATGCTACGGTGCTCAGTTCTCCTAGGACTTCTCACTCACCAAGGAGCGTTCACCCAGCCCAAGCTTCTCACGGCGCCTCTGGCCTGTCTCCTGTCTCCCTGCTCAACCTCCCCCATGGCCTCCAATTCCCTGTCACAGGACAGCCAAGACTAAAGCCAAACTCCTTCCCAGCACCTCTGGGCACCTAGAGGTCTCTTCATGCATGTCCAGCCCTATCCCAGACCTCCTGCCCCTTGGCTCCCTGTGTTCCGGCCACCCTGGCCTCTGGTGAGCCTCCTTGGTGGGGGCCTAGGCCCGGGCTGTCCCCACAGCCTGCTCAGCTCCCGCCTTCCCACTGCCTTTCCCCAGAGCTCGCATATCCCTGAACTCTCATTTCCACGGGAGCTGCCATGGCCTCTACACGCCTACCAACTCTTTGATGCTCTTCCCACTGAGAGGTGAAGTCCAGCTCCCACACCCTTGACTGAGGGCCGGCCGTGGTAACTCACTGCCAGCGCTGGGATGTGGCAGAAGTGATGTCGCCTGCCTTCCAAGGGAGGCTAAGTTAAAAAGTGGTAAGGCTTCTGCCTGGGTTCCCTTGGAGCATGCAGAGAGAGAGGAACAGCAGCAGGTAGGGGTGACATGCGGGACGGGGTTTGTGTGTTCTTGGTAGGTGGGCAGCCTACCCCGAGGCCGAGGTGGAGGGTGTGGCTGGGGAGTCCCAGCTGCCAAAGCCCTCACTGTTGGAAGCCTCCCAGGCCAACGCAAGCAGCTCTGGCGCTGACCCAACCTGGCCCCATCTGATGGATGAGGCCCCGAGTGACAAGTACGTAACCACGTCCAGGCACCCTAACGCCCATGTGCAAAATAAATGTGTGTTCTTGTTTTCAAGCCCTCACTTAGGGGTGAAAAGAAGGTACCTAACCCCACAGACCCATGAGCTGGATCACAACAGCAATGAAGACACTGTGATGAAGGCCTGAGGATCCCCCCTAAGCTCTGGAGGGCTGGGGCTGCCCGCTGCGCCCACTGCCCGCCATGCCTGCAGTATCTTCTGGCTCCCAGCAGATGCTCTGTCGGCAAGAACAAGGGACAGGGAGCCGGCAGGCCTGCCAGGGACCCTGACCAGCTCCTTACCTCCACCATGGTCTGGTTGCCCCTCAGTGCCAGGAGCATGCAGGGTCCCAGCTTGTTTTCCGCCAGGGAGAGCAGGAATTTTTTGGTCTTGTAACAGGAGCCCATGAGGATGTGCACCTGTGAGGCAAGAAGGCCCAGGTGAAGGGACAGGGACGCCCAGGGCCAGCCTACAGCATGCCGGCAGGACTGTGAGCCCCAGAGTCATCCACAGACCTGCCCACACGCTGTCCAGGCAGCCAGGTGTTCTAGGCTCATCAGGCCCCAGGGGAATGCAAGAGACCCGTCCTCGACACATGGTCCAACGTGGACGGACCCCGAGGATGCTACGCTGAGTGAAATAAGCCAGTCGCGAAAGTCATGTTCATGATCCCTCTTCTCATTCTGCCTTTTGCCTTTTAAAATTTTTGGTACTACCTGATTTAACTATAAGCCCCAGCTCAGCAAGGGTATCTTTTGTATAAATTTGTAATACTAAATGCAATGAAAGCATACTAGAATGCAATTTAAAGTCTATTTACTTAAACATGTATAGCCCTTGCTACTTATTTTTTGAGACGAAGTGTCATTCTGTTGTCTAGGCTGGAGTGTGCAGTGGTGCGATCTCAGCTCGCTGCAACCTATGCCTCCTGGGTTCAAGCAATCCTCCCACCTCAGCCTCCCAAATAGCCCGGATTACAGGCATGTACTACCACTCCTGGCTAATTTTTGTCCTATTTCTAATAGAGATGGGGTTTCATTACGTTGGCCAGGCTGGTCTTGAACTCCTGACCTCAAGTGAAACCCGAAGAGCTGGGATTACAGGCGTGAGCCACTGTGCCTGGTCCTTGCTAATTTTTTAAGAATCTGGAATAGTCTCTAAATATGTAATCCCCTCCTATTCTAAAACTGCCGACGTTTGAAACACTTACTACGTTGAAGTTTTAACAGAAGGATGACTCTGACTCCACTACATGAGGCACCTGGATAGGGAAATCCAGAGACAGAATGGCAAAGTGGCTGCCAGGGGATGAGGGCGGGAGGAAGCGGGAGTCAGCGTGGAATGGAGGCTGAGCCTCAGTTTCGGCAGGTAAGACAGTTCTGGAGATGAACAATGGTGACGGTTGTGTAACAATGTGAGAGTCTTTAACGTCACTGAGCAGTGCGCTGACTTTTACATTACGTATGTTTTACCGCCAAACCAAAAAAGCCCCCTCCTCTGCTCCCCTCGGGATTCTGCTGATAGCTGATCCTCTGAGTTACTGGCACCGCTGGAAATTTCTGGGCAGCCTTTGCTTGGGGTGGGGTGCACACGCATGGGGCAGGGGATGTGACGAAGCGCAGCCACCTCTGTCAAGCCCGCTGTGAGCTGGGGAGGGTGTTTTGGGAGACTGCCTGCCCCAGGAATCCAAGGATGGGCAAATGCTGCTCCCTCCTGGGTTACGTGTCGGGCGACCTTTTGTTCTGGTGTATGGGGGATGGGGCCCAAGGGCAGTGGGCTTGGGGAAGGCCTGGACACCACACTGGCTTTCCGCCAACTTCAAACAATGGCAAATGCTCTTGGCGGTGGAGAAGGCCGCCTCATCGAGGGGCTGGCTTCCAAGCCATGTATCTCCATGGCAACAACACACTTCCAACCAGCGGCTGCCTGCTTCCTTCCTTGTGTATATTTTTTCCGCTCCATCATGAACAGCTCTGGCATACAAATGCGATCTCTCGGCCTGGGAAGCCGCCAGCTCCCTGAGAGTCCCCATATTATGGGGTGGGGAGAACTGCTCAGTGTTGCTATGGTGAAGCTGTGACATCAGAGGAGAACCTGAGAGGTGACCGTGGGCGCGAGAGAGGTGGTGCAGGCCGCCAGGGGCAGGCACCTTCCTAGATGCATGGGGCCCTGAGAGGCCTGGAGTGGCAGGCGAGGAGGGGAGAGGGAGTGCATGAGGAAAAGGGCCTAAAAATCAGCCCCTTTCAAGAAGCTTCCAGGGGCAGCGCCTCACTATGTCATAACTGCACAAGCATCTCTGCTAAGTTCAGTACAGAGGGCCAAACCAGCCACCCAGCAGAGAGGAGAATCACCACCGGCGTCACTTCCGAGCAGCAACTGTGCTGGCCCGCTGGGCACCATGCAGCTGCTGTGGCACGCCATCACTAAGGTATCCTCGAGAGGCCAATGCGATGCTCCCGGATGAGGGACTGAAGCTGGCAGAGGCAGGTTACCAGCCCAAGGTCAACCAGCTAGCTCCCGGCAGAGCTGCAACTGGAAGCCCAGTTTGAGTGCAGGAGCACCAGCGCCAGTGAATGGAGCCGGTTTTCTCAGCAAGCGGAGCTGGTGAGGCCGCTGGCCACTAGGGTGCAGCATCTGCCCCGGGAGGAAGAGTCCGCGGCCCTTTACTACCCGAAGAAGGCGTGTGGGCTGCGCCGAGGAAGGGCTCCGAAACAGAAGTCCTGTGTGACTCCAGGCACGCCACTCAACCTCTCTGGGCCTGTTTCAACACGGTATAATTCAGCAATAAGGATGCTGTGATGAAAAAGGACAGTGCATGCCAAGTGATAGATACAGTGACTGGCACAAAGAAAGTCACCATGGATGCAGCTACTGGTTTGGTGACCTCAGACATGTCATGACGGCGAGGATAATCACCCTGACCGCGACACCTCCTTGTAAGGACTAAACAAGCTGGTGGACCTTCAGTGCCTTCCAGAATCCCTGGTGTGCGTTAGGCACTCAACCCGTGTAGGAACAGAACCTTGACAACGAATGGTGTGACCTTAGGCAGTAATGCCCTGGGCTTTCGCTGCCTTGGGTATAAAATGGGATGATGACATGTGTCCTCTTCTCACTGTGCTGTGAGAGACAGTGCAGGTGGGGATGTCCAGTGGAGCCTCAGAGAAGAAATGAGTCAGTGACGGTCAGGGTCACCACCACCACCACCACTGTCATGACCAGCACTGTGTTAGCTTGGCAACTCCGGGGCTGACCCCAAGGGATGGGGGGCAGCTGTTTCACTAGTCAGGCACGGCAAGCCCAGGGCCCCCGGAAGTCACCCCACTGGGGTCCCACTGCATACCATGCTGGCGAACAGCTCCCCGTCATCGTCGCAGGCCACCCCTCCGGGGCTGTAGAGCTGGAACCAGCCGTCTTTGCCGGCCCGCACGCTCAGCAGGCACGAGTGGACCTGCCAGACAGGGGAAGACACAACTGGTGAGCCACATGCAGCCTCGGTGACATTGGTGATGTCAAGCTGCACACAAGATCGTTAAATCCCGAAGTCAAGAGACCCACTTAACTCTGCCTCCCCCAGCAACCCCCAGACTTCCACCAAATGCCATGAAAGGTCTTTTGGGAAACACTGTGGCCCCCACATCCCAGAGGCACTAGCTGCTGGCTGTCAGCTGCACGGGAGGGAGGGCAGGCCCTGGCTTGACTGGCAGATCTGAATGAAGCAGGCCTGTGGCTGCAGCAGAGCACAGGGATGCCTAGAGCGACGGCCCGGAATCAGCCCCCTTTCCCCTTCTGGGTGGAGCCATCTCCTGGGTCTCTGTTCTTTGTCTGGTTCTCTGTCCTCTCTCTAACTCCTCTCCCGTGCTCTCTGCCCTCTTTCTCTAGAAACCTCTCCCCGCTGTCTCTTCGGAGTTCTGCTGCCCCCAGCACTGACTCCCCATCCTGGGGATCTGCTTCTTCCAACCCTGACTTTCTTACATTGACTTGTGCAGGCAGCAACCTCCCCTCCAGGTATCTGCCCTCACAATCTCTCTCTCTCTCCCTTTCTGGGACTCTGTCACCCTCTCTGGTCAGGTCTCATCCCCACTCCCTTCTCTGAGTCTTTGTCCCTCTGCACTGAAGGGTCTCTGTCCATGGCTGGGGGCAATTTCAGTGCCAAAGGCACAGCTCTTATATTCCTTCCCAGACCTGTGTGTCTGTGTGAATGGGTGTGATTGTGCATGTGAGCACACATGTGTGCATGTATGGGAGGAATTCTGCAACCACCCTCTGGCCTCTGCTGTGATTACGCAGAGAGAGAGAGGGATGGAGGGAGAGGGGGAGAGTAAAGGAGAGAGAGAGAGCTCGCATAAAACACAAAGGACTTTCCCCCAACTCCTCCTGTCCTCGGAAGAAATCCGAGAAGTTCCTCATCATTTCCTTTAGGAAAGGACAATTTGCTGCCAAGAATCAGTTGCCCACAAATATGAAACTGATCACAACTCACACGAGTACACAGAAAACAAAGGCTTTTATTTTTCCCTCTGAGCTGGAAGAATATCAAGGGTTCACTTATCGACTTCAAAGAAATTAAGACTTAAGAGTATAAGACACTATTCAACAAATATAGCAAAGAATTTTAAAGGAAACAAATCTGGCTTCATTTAGGAAGGAGAAGGTAGGAGGGAAGGGAGAAAAAAGGGGGAGGAGGAAAAGGGAGAGAGAATCAGCAGAGAAGAGAAAGAGGCAAACAGGAGAATAAGAACCTCAGCCGGGGGAGCTTTTCCTTCCAGACTGCAGGTCCCCTGGGGCCTCATGCATGTTACCCCGGTTTGAAAATTTCCCTCCCAGCAGCTGGCCCTGCCTCTCCATTCCGAGAAGCAGCTGGCACTTTCATTCTCCCAACGTCAAAGCTGGGCTTGAATAAAGGCGCACTTCCCAGGAGAATTCGGAGAATCTGCCTTCACAGGCAGCAAGGGATGATTTAAGTTTCAGAAAAATGGAGACAGTCACTGGTCCCCGACTATTTAAAAGCATCAAATCTACTGTTTCTCCTTTTTCCCTCCACGCCCGAGGAGCACTTGGGGAATCATGGTGTTTAGAATTCCGGTGTTTTAGACGAGACTCTTCAAGCCCCCTCCAGAACTAGGTTTCTCAGCGTGGCCCGGAGACCAGCCCTCGGAACCACTCAGGACGCTCGCTCGAAATGCATCAGAATGCAGCTGCTGGGCTGCCCCACGGCCCCATGAGCTGGGACTGGGAAGGGGTGCAGCGGGGAGTCTGCCTTTGAACAAGCTCCTCAGGTAATACAGTTCGAGAACAATTACTCTAGAACTTCTGGAATTAGAGCCTGACAAACTGTGGGTTCTGCATCAGAGGGACCCGCCATGGTTGGATATGGCAAGACCTGGGTGTCGACGTATTCTCAGATTCTTTCTCAAACACCATTTACCACCCTCTAGACTAAGGTCCAGTTCGCTCCATTTAGCTAAGTCCAACCATGTCAGTACCACCTTCTCCAGGAAGCCTCCCGGGGATGGCTCCATGGACAATGACTCACTCTGTCCTCTGCCCATCCTTCCCCCTGCTCTGCTAGGAGCACGAGTCCAGGCCTGCCCTCAGCTGGGAGCCAGGCCCCTACCACAGTCAGAAGTCACACACACAGAGGAGCGGGCTGCGAGCTCTTCGGGGCACAGCACACAGTGCGGTGGGCTGGTGAGAAGCACCCGGCTCGAGTCCTGCCTCAGCCATGGACCAGCTGTGCCACACTGGGGATGCTATAGAAGCCACTCACAGGGCCAGGTGCCGTGGCTCACCCCTGTAATCCCAGCACTTTACAGTGGAGGCTGTAGGCGGGCAGATCACCTGAGGTTGGGAGTTCGAGACCAGCCTGCCCAACATGGAGAAACGCTGTCTCTAATAAAAATAGAAAATTAGCTGGGCATGATGGTGCATGCCTGTAATCCCAGCTACTTGGGAGGCTGAGGCAGAAGAATCACTTGAACCCAGGAGGCAGAGGTTGAGGTGAGCTGAGATTGTGCCATTGCACTCCAGCCTGAGCAACAAGAGCAAAACCCCATTTCAAAAAAAAAAAAAAAAAAAAGCCACTCATAGGGATGCTGTGAAGATGAGAAAAGGGATATGTCTGACCCAGGGTCCAGCACCTCATAAAGGGGCAGCAGTTGCTGCTGTTATTGGTACATCAGGCGATGTAGGCCCAGGGCCATGGACTGGCTTCCTTGCCCGCCTAGATCCCTGCCCATGTGCACAGGCATGGGGGCAGAAGGCGGAAGGCTGCCCTCTCTCTGGAAGCCCAGCTTTGGTGAGGAACACAGCAGCCCCTCAGGGAAGCCCTTGGCCACCATGACCAGGACATAAAAACCCAGCTCAGATCCCAGCTCAGATGCCTTGCTCTGCCCAATGATTCACATAGCAGCAGAACCAGACAGGATCAAACTGCTACCTCGAGCTGGGAGCTGCCATGCCAGCCCACCCTGAAATCAACGCCGCGGCTGCAGGGAGAAACCACCAGCCAGTGGAGAGCCAGCCCTGGTGAGCCGGCGTTTACAGTAGAACACTGACATCACAGGCTGGGCTGGCACCTGGGCGGGGCTGTGTTTACGCACGGGAGACGGGTCTCTGAATGCTGTTCTAAATGCCTGCCGGTGACAAGGAGGCTCCCCAGAGCCTCAGAAGGCCTCGGAGGGGCCCTCGTGCCCCCTGCCATCCCCGACAGCGGGCCTGAGACGCAGAAAGGAAGGCCTCACCTCTTGCCGGGGGTCTTCGGCGAACCTCTGAATGACGTACTTCAGTTCCCTGGAAGAGACCAAGCGGGCGGAGTCACTGCCGGGGTCTGGGACTGGGAGGGAGGGGTGGGGTGGGGAGGGGATGGTGTCAGGAAGGCCCGGGTCAGGGAGCTGAGCAGCCTGGCGGATCAGGGACGCGAGTCTCAGAACTGCCTCCCCGAATGCGCGTGCCGCAGAGCAGGGGCTGGTAGAGGCTGGCCGTGGAGGGAAGGCCTCAGGACAGGCCGTGCGTGCCAGAAGGGAATGAGGGCGGTGCCCACACACTCACTTGGTGAACTTCTCGTGTGCGAGAGCTCTGTAACAAAACAGAGGAAAACATGGCAGTTAGCAGAAGCTACTGAAACAGTCCAATGTTCCCAACATTTTCCTCTGGGGACGTCCAGACTTTATGCCTGATTCGAGGAATGGAGAGGAGTCCCAGTGAAATGCCAACATTTGTCCGCACTCAAAGGCTCCAAATCAAAGGCCTTCTTTGAGGGTGGACGGACCATGGCAGCGTGAACAGGCTGGGCCCTGCACGGCCCAAAGCTCCCCGGGCGCACACGTGTGAACACGAGGAACTAAGCGGCTGCCTGCACACGTGTGGGTCCACGTGGGATCCAGGGACCCAGGTGTGTTCATTAATTGTTCCACAGTCAAGGCGGGCGGTACTCATTACTGCACACATCAGCGGCCATCGGGGACCACTCTTCTACACCAGTTGCCACAGCCAAGTGCACCTGGCCCTATGGGGACAGGGGCTGAGGCCAATGATGTCACAACTCTGATGAGACTGAGCGCCTCTCAGGAGTTGAATTTCTCAGGTCTCGAGTCCTGGGGACCCTTGGGACCTGCCGGGCCAGCAAATGGGGCAATTAATGCGTGTAATGTGCCCTTACAGAGCAGCATTTCATAAACACGTTCAGTAATCGGCTCCTTAGAGAGCCCGGCCTCGAGGCAGGCTCCTTCCAACCTCTCGAAAGTGACCTGGAGGCATGTTAGGGCCTGGTTATTTTGACAAAGGGTTCTCTTCAGGCCATTATGTAGTTCCCTCTAGTTTCCTATGGTCCATTCAATATGGCGCTAGGGGCCGGCCAGAGAGGGAGGCAGAGGGTCTGTTTCTGGCCAGGCTCGCTGTGAAGTCTGAGATGAGCACTGTAATGAGCATAATAAGAATGCTTCCAGCATCTCACTAGGACACAGCGAGCAATTCCACGCAAATTATCTTTTGATTCTTCCCACCACCCTCGGAAGAGGAGCGGCTGGTATTACTGTTCCCATCTGGTAGATGACGAAAAATGCTAACTGCACGGCCTGCCAGGCGCCATGGGGAGGTCTCTGCTTGCACTCTGAGCTCATGAATCCTTGTGACAATGCAGTCAGGCAGCTCCTACAATGTCCCTGTTTTCCTGAGTTCCCCATTTTTCTGAGGAGGGGAGCTGTGCGTCCCCAGGGGTCCCACAGCTGAGGATGTGGCTGAGCTGGGACTGACATCTCCAGGGTCTCCCCACTGTGACCTGGCTTTCCCAGAACGTGACTGGTCCCCTACTAAGGCCTTGGTGAACAACTGAGGCTTATCTCACAGGTGGGAGCACCCCGGGAACGCGCGTGGGACTTACTCTTTGGGGAATGGAATGGGTTGAAGCAAACTGGCCAGAGATGGTCTCCAGTCATCATAGTCCGACCTAGAATGAGAGACGGTGACAGTCAGCTTTGGTTGGGACAAGGAGAGGTTTCTGGCACTGTCCCAGATGGGCCAAAAGACAGGATGAGAGTGTGGCAGGGAGTCGGGCAGCACTGACTACTCCACCCACTCCAGCCTCCAGGGCGAGCAAGTCAATGTTCTCAGTGTGGCAACGAGGTCTCCCAGTCAGGCCTGTGCAGAACCTTCCTCATGGCACCCGAGGGGGTCAGCTGTCCAGGTGCTCAGGACTTCACAGTGCGCTCTGGACCAAGGGCACGAGGTCATTGTTCATTCCCTCTCTGGGACCACTGAGGGTGTTCTGGGTTGAATTTTGCCCTCCCTTGCAATATACTGAAGCTCTATCCCCCGGTTCTTCAGAATATGACTGTACTGGGAGATATGGCCTTTGAAGAGGTGATCAGGTAACAATGACACTGTGCACAATGTCCTCAGAAGAAGAGGAAACAAGGACACGCAGAGAAAAGAGCAGCCAGGACTCAGCGAGGAGGCAGCCGTCTGCAAGCTAGGAGAGAGGCCTCCAGAGAAGCCGCCCTGCCCACACCTCGGTTTCAGGGTTCTGCCGTCCAGAACTGAGAGAAATCCATGCTTCTTGTGTAAGCCACGAAGTCCGTGGTACTTTATGGCAGTCCTAGCACACCAATGCAGCGGGCATAGACTGGGACCCTGGGGCCGGTCTCACCTTTCAGTGATTGGAACTGACCGGAAATTCTATAGATGGAGTCATAAAAAAGACACATTCCATGCTGTTTGTTTGTGGTTTGGGTGAACCTTCCTGATTGGTTGGATCTTCTCTTTTTTGTTTCTTTTTAAACATTTATTTATTTATTTTTGAGACAGAGTCTCACTCTGTCGCCCAGGCTGGAGTGCAATGGCACGATCTTGGCTCACTGCAACCTTCGCCTTCTGGGTTCAAGTGATTTTTGTGCCTCAGCCTTCTGAGCAGCTGGGATGACAGGTGTACACCACTATGCCCAGCTAATTGTTTGTATTTTTAGTAGAGACAGGTTTTGCTGTTGGCCAGGCTGGTCTTGAACTCCTGGCCTCAGGTGATCTGCCTGCCTTAGCCTCCCAAAGTGCTGGGATCAGCTAGGTGCAGTGGCTAACACCTGTAATCCCAGCTGCTCAGGAGGCTGAGGCAGGAGAATGGCTTGAATCTGGGAGGCGGAGGTTGCAGTAAGCCAAGATTACACCATTGCACTCCAGCCTGGGCAACAGAGCAAGACTCCCTCTCAAAAAAATAAATAACCCAAAGTGTTGGGATTATAGGTGTGAGCCACCTCACCTGGCCTTGGTGGATCTTTTTATTCTTGCTTTTAGACAACAGCTTGTCATTTTTTCTTTCTAACAGTTGATGCTAATGACAGTAATAACAACGGCAATAACAGTAACAGCAGCTCCGAAGTCCTGGAGACTTTCAACACACACTGCCTTACGCTAAGAGCTTTACCTTAGTTCATTTACTCTTTACAAGAGCACAATAAAGTCAATGTAAGTAACCCTACTTAACAGATGACAAACTTGAGGCTCAGGGGTTCAAGGTCACACAGCCATGGCAGATGAGAAGTCAAATCCAGGCTTCTGTGACGGCACAGCCTTGGCTCTCACCAGCCCTGAGAGACCACAGCTGAGATTTTAGCAAAAGCCAGCGCCTGCTTGGGTGAGGAAAGAGGGCTAAACCTCAGTCAGAGCAGGTGTGGGAAGCACCTCGCTGTTCACCTGCCTTCACTGAACCCTTTTACGAGAGAGCCTTCCTCTTGTGCACAGGGCTGGCGGCAGAGGTGGGTTATCCACTCTGAGTAATCCACTCAGCTATGAAGGGGCGAGGCTGGACTCAGAGCAGGTATTTCAGGCTCTACCACACCACGGTGTGGGGTGAAGCCACACCAGCGTGTTCACCCCCGTCCGACCCTGGGAAGACCACTGTCCCACAACAGCACAAGATTGGCACTGCTGATAATGTAGGTGCAATTCACTCTGCGCTGCCTGCACACTGGGGCTTGAACCAAGTGCTCTGCCTGTGTTTGCTCATGGATCTGCCCAGAGGACCCTGTGTGGTGAGTCCAAATTACAGACTAGGAGCAGTCAGGCAGCTCACTGACTGTGACCACAGGGCCGTGACACAGCGAGGCCCCAGCAGGGAGGCAGCAACGTCAGGAGGTTCCTGAGGGCCAACAGGATGCGTCCCAACGAGCTGCCAGGACAGCTCCATAAAGCGAGTTTTTTGGCCAACTCTTCCCCACAAAATCTGGGAGCGTCCAGAGAACTCACCGGCATCTCAGTCTGAGTACAGACAGGCTTATATCACACAGCAGAGCAGTCACTGACGGCCCCCAGAGACTGCAGTCATCACAACCCCCATTTTACAGATGAGGAAAATGAGGCTCAGGGCTGTCTGTGATTTCCCACAAGTCACCAGGGAGTGGCTGAGATCTGACTTCAGGTGCGTCTAAGACCATGACCCGTGCTCTCTGCCCCAGCGCCTGTACTGTTTTTTTTTTTTTTAAGACGGAGTCTTGCTCTGTTGCCCAAGCTGGAGTGCAGTGGTGTGATCTCGGCTCACTGCAACCTCCGCCTCCAGGGTTCAAGTGATTCTCCTGCCTCAGCCTCCCGAGTAGCTGCCACCATGCCCGGCTAATTTTTGTATTTTTAGTAGAGATGGGGTTTCTCCATGCTGGCCAGGCTGGTCTCAAACTCCTGACCTTGTGATCCACCTGCCTCAGCCTCCCAAAGTGTTGGATTACAGGCATGACCACCGTGCCTGGTCTGTACTGTGCTTTTAACCAGTTCCGCCACCTGGGTTCTGGATCTCTCTGGCTGTAGAGACTTTGCTAAAAAACAAACCCAGAGGTAGTCAGTTCTCACTGGCTGTCCTAAGCCAGGCCTGGGCACCTCTGAGGGCCCAGAGCTTAAAACCCTGACACATAAAGTGAGGGGTGGCTGCTGGAGCAATCCCTCCCCGAGCTGAGAGCTGTCCCTGGGGCTCCCGAGCTTCTGCCCATCTTGCCTTGCACCACCCCAGGGAGGGGCCCAGGTCTCATCTCTGCATCCCCCATGCTGGGCGGGTGCCTGGTGCTTGGGAGAGGCCTGCTGAGCCCAAGATCCAGTGCACACTGGGACCAGGCGAGGGACAGAACGTGGGCCTGTGGGTGGCCTTCAGAGCAGAAGGGATGTTGAGTCTCCATCTGGGGGACTAGCATGTGCCAGCAGGTGCCAAGATTGAGTGGGATGCCAACTTAGATCGTGGCTTGGACCAGGGCAGGAGGTGGGATCTGAACCCTCACCCAGTAGCCCATGTTGGGCGGGCACTGCAGACAGATGACCCACTGACACCTAGCACCGCCCATGGGAGAGGCAGGGGGGTGCTCAGACTTGGGCTGGGCAGAGGGGTGGTCCCAGGACCCCTACCCACATACAATTCACACCACAGATACTCTGTGTATCGGTTTGTGTGCTGTGTGTCTAACTATGCCTTATATAGAAACGGGGAGATGCATTTTCACCAAGAACAAATGTTCACTCCTGTCGACAATGCATGGTTTAGATAACCCAAGTGAGGGCTTTTCCCACCCCACCTTCCTCCAAATAAGCCCACAACAGAGTGGCAGCCTCCAGAACCCTGATCACACCCTGGAAGCTTCTGAGGAAATGCTCCGACACTGGACACACAGAAAAGCATGACCAGGAAAGCCTGGTGGCCTGAGATCAGTCCTGACAGTGAAGCCAGTGGCTGCTCACTCACTGCTTACCCGACTTGCTCACTTTACCCTCAGAGTGGCACGTAAGGGCAGAGGGTGCTGGTGAGGAAGCAGAGCTCAGCTCCTGGAAGGCAGGTGGAGGCTGAGTGCAGGTGCTCTGGACTGCAGTGCCCGAGGGCGGAGGGCCCAGGTGCCACGTGGCCTGCAGGTCTCAGAGCTGTAGGAGCCTGAGGCCTGTCAGTGCATGTCAGGATGCGGAGACCCTTTTATGCCCCCATATTCACATGCTCCCTTCTGAGGGGTCATCGGTTTTTGCAGCTAGTCTTCCGTCCAGAAGAATCCCCTTCCTTCTTCCCTCCCACCCGTCCCTGACTCACGGTTTCCAGAAAATGGAAACGTAGTTGACAACAAACCACGTCTGTGGCGCCTGTCGTGTGCCATGTGCTCTACAAGGGTTCCCAAGCACCAGCCTGGGCAGCTCCCCCAGCAACTCGGTCAGGAGGGTGCTCTTGCCACCCCCATTTTATAGGCAGGAAAATGGAGACGCAGTGAGAAACTGCCTTGGCCCCAGACCACACAGCTGGTGAGAGCTGGGATCTGAACACAGCAGCCTGGCCTGAGCGCCTGTGCTCCACCCTCTCAATGTCTCAGAAAGAGGGTGGCCCAGATCATGCCTGACGAAGAAGACTATTTCCCTGTATCCAAAGGGCACTGGTGGGCATGTGGTGGTTCACGCCTGTAATCCCAGCCAAGATAGGAGGATCACTTGAGGCCAGGAGTTCGAGACTAGCCTGGGTAACATGAAGAGATCTCCCCTCTCTAAAAAAAAAAAAAAAAAAAGTGGGTGGTGTGCACCTGTACTCCCAGCTACTTGGACGTCTGAGGTGGGAGGATTCTTTGAGCCTGGGAGTTCAAGGCTGCAGTCGGCTGTGATGGCGGTACTGTACTCCAGCCTTAGTCACAGAGCATCGCAAAAAAAACAAGGGAGGCATATTCTATGTAGAACTGTCACAAGATACAGAACTTTAAGGGGATTTGAAGTCACCCACAATCAGAGGAGTCCCCATGGGGGGCGGGGGGTGCGAACCCCAGCAGCAGGCCCAAGGTTGCTTTTCACTCCTGAACCTGTTCTGTGAATGGCAAGTGTGGCCTGTACTCACAGGTGCTCAGCCCAGTGGGAGGCTTTGGCCTATCTGGGGCAGGGTCTGGGCAGAAGCCACCTCCTTTGGGTCTCCCAGCCTGGGGCTCGGCTTCTTGGCAGCTCCCCCAAGACCGAGAGGGGTGC